AGTTTAGTGTTAGGATCACATACAACTGGTATTTGCCACCATTTGGCACATTGTGATTCACTGAAGATACCAACTTACTGTAGTGTACAGTCTAAAAAACCTGAGAAACAACACTATTTTATTGACAGACATTCCAATATTTAACACACACACACGACCTTTTTATCCACAAGTTGAATACTTTCACCTGATTTTTTAAAGCCAATTAAAATAGCCTGGCACTTTATGTAAATAGAGAGATAATTAGCTATGTTAGTCTGAAGTCAGGCAAAAGGCAGGGTAGATTTGCACCTTATAAATGAACTAAATCAAAGATGTATAGCATAAACTTTTGTAAGCAGAGGGCTTACTTCATCAGATGCTGTAAAGGGATTGAGGAAAGCAGAGCTTCTAAATAGAAAGCATAGATTTGAATATAAAGAGTAGGGAACTCGGGATGAAGAAGAAAGTGGGCACTGCTAAGAGCGGCAAGGTAGGTGGGAGGGGAGAACCTTCAGAGTGCTCCAGCAGTTCATTCTAAGCACACTACCTCTGCAACCAAACTTTGCATTACACCCATATCTGCTTTGATCTCACCGACCGGCATGCACACCTTAAAAATCTGGAGCAGGAAGCTCCTACAGTTCCAATACAGTCTAAAAACCATAGCCAATCAGATCAACAGAGCCTTCACCAACCTGATACAATATGAACCCCAAGACCATAACAAAAGAATCCCTTTGACTGGCAGCTACAACCCCCAACTTGAATGTCTTAGACAGAACATTACTGACCTCCAATCCCTCCTGGAAAATGATGACAATCTCAAGGTAACCATGAGGGACAAACCTGTCCTGGTTTACAGGCAGCCCCCAACCTTAAACAGCATCTCTCCAGCAAGACACTACATAACTCCTATAATCCCCAGGGCACCGGAATTTGCTCTGGACCCAGATACCAGCTGTGCCCCATCATCAACACAGACTACATCATCACTGGACCAAATAACAGATTATAACATCCAAGGTTCTTTTACCTGTACCTCTACCACCATCATATGCCATCACTTACAGCCGCTGTAGACTAGGGGCAAACATTACACATAAACCAGTTTAAGTGACCAGAAACTGGTTTAAACCTGTAACAGAACAGATGTTCAGTGCACATAAACCAGTTTGAAAATGGCTGAAACCAGTTTGAGATAAACCTGGTTGAATGCAGTATCAGATTTAACTGATTTGGGTCAAATCAGTTTATGCAGTGTCTGTCCCAGACCCATTCCTTATTTAAGTTAAATCAGAGTCCTCCAGCATCCCAGGTGCTTTGCAACTCTGGATGGGGCTCTCTGCTCCAGCCCAGCATGGCTGGTCCCTGCCCTCTGCTCCCAGGCTGCAGTTCCAGCAGAGCCTGCAGGTACAGCAGCACTTGCCTGGCTTCCTCCTGCTCCCCCCTACCCACCACCACTCCCTGCTCAAGCAGGGATTCCCCCCTCCTCTCTGCCTTACACAGACACCTCTCAGCATTAGCTAGCATACCACATGCTAGCTACGGTCTGTGCTGTGGCAGATGGGACAAAGGCAGACAGAACAGTGTTGGCTTAGGGCTTTTTGGAGCTAATCAACAGGTAGCTGGTAATGTTTCCCTGTTTCTTCCTTGGAAATGTTGTTTAAGAAGAGATTGAACTAATGAGAGAAGCTTTTGCTTTGTTTGATGGGCTGATAAATGCTAACAACTCCTTGTGTAACTCCCTGCTGTGTAACTCAATGCTCTGTTATCAACAGCAAGGGGGGGAACCCCTCCCTAATCAGAGCATCCTGCCACACCCCTCCTCAGATCAGCACTGTAAAAAGGGAAGGGAGGCCTGCATTTCTTCAGTCCAGAGGGGGTGTCTTCACAGTTACAAACTGGTTTAGCCACACCCAGTTAGATGAACCTGCAAAGACTGAATCAATTCAGGCTCAGGCTTTTTGAATGTCTGTCCCTAGCTCTTCTGTCTACATCAAACTCAGCCCTACATGTAAGAATGAATTCATACCATTTGATATGAATTCCAGAAAGACACACAAGCTTGTGGCAAAACATTTTTACCTATCTGGGCATTCCATCACTGACCTCAAAGTGGCTGTTCTTAGACAACAAAAAACTTTAAAAATGAACTTGAACAGTTAATTGTGGAACAAGAAATCATTCACAGAGGGGACTGTGTAAAGTATGGTCTAAACCATGACTACAGATTCCCATTACCTGGATTAGCTTTTATAACCCTTATGTCCTTCAGTGGGTTAACTGCTTTTTTCTGTCTCCTACCTACTTTGCCTCTCTCACCAGTGCCCCTTCCTTTTTCCTCCTCCCTTCCCTTTCCTTTGTATTCTAATCCATGCTTTCTATTTAGAAGTTCTACTTCCTGTAGTTCTTGATGAAGCAAGCTACTGCTTAGGAAAGCTTAAGCTATACATCTCTGATTTGGTTTGTCTATATGATGCAAATCCATCCTGCCATCTATATGATGTAAACTACATACATCCACAGCTCACACTTCTCAAGAGTATTCTGGGATCAGTCTCCATCTCTCTCCCTCAAGTTTGTTAATTGTACAGAAAAAAAAAACAACTTCTAGATTCATTGGGCATGTGTAGACAAAACGAGGGGTGTGTGCACAACACTTTAACTTGGGTTAAACCGCTTTAATAGTGTTGGTGTTTGCATGCATCAGCAGTGTATTGCACATTAATTCCAGCCGCTATAGCACATTGGGCGGCATAATGTGCCTTAAATGACTTTGGGACGCAGAAAACTAAAACACCTCTGAGGAGTTTTAGTTTGCTGCCCTACAGCCATGGAGCAAAGCACCAGGCTCTGCGCAGCTCAGGGACTATGCAGGGAGCCTGGCAGCAGCCTGGGAAGGCAGGTTCCACCAAAGTAAAAACAAACAAAAACAAACAAAAAGCCAAAAAAACCCACTGGTGAGCCTGATCTTTTTTCCCCCTGGAACCTGCCTGCCTGCATGAGCTGTGTGGGGACCTGGTCCCTGGCTGCGGTGCCCTCCAGGACTGCCCAAGCTGGGTGCCTGCAGGCCAGTGCCACCTGTTGGGTGGGGTGGGGGACCACTGCTGCCACGGAGAGAAGCATCAGCCCCCTAACCCCCGCAGCCCAGGGACCACTCCGTCCACCCACAGCTTGCCCTCTCCTGCCCGCCACTGGAGAGGCAGGTAAGACACAGGTGTACACAACACGAAGGTTTACTTTGCCCTAAATTGAAGAGATGTTTTTAAAAACCTACCACTTCAATTTAGGACCCTGTTTCGTCTATACACATTATTCAGCCCAAGGAAGAGAGGATGACTCTTTAGCCCACTGATTTCCACTCACTCAAGACAAGGAGCTCTGTCTTTTGATTCCTCTTTATACATTTAACAGTCATTGGACAAAATACTGAACTAGGATTCTGACACCTTATACTATCTGTAAAATGTATATTGCAGAGTAAGAGGCAAATGCTGATTGCAGTTCCATCACAACACAGTTTTTATATACTGGTAAGAATTAGGGGGAGGAATTGATTTTTTTTTAACCAATACAAGGCATCCTGTAAATGCATTTTCAAGGAGGCTTTCATTACAGTACTATAAGGACCATTTCTATTCCTAGCACTGCAACCACATTAAGAGTAGGAGCAGTGGTAGCACTTTGATATATGTGATCAGTTAGGGCAGTACATGAAGGTCTAAGTCAGGAGGGAACTCCTCTGAAATGAATGGCAAAAATGTGTGTCAGCAAAAAGGCACTAAGATTTGAATAGTTATATTAAGGGAAGGAATTTCTGTTCTCATACTGGAAATCTACATTTAAGCACATCATCAGCCAAACTCTATCCAGTTATCTGTCACATGGTTTGAATGTTCACTCCAAGCTCAGAACAGCAAGAGCATTCAGAATATTCTGGTCCTCCACATCTATTCCCTCATCTCAAACGAAAAAGGGCAGCTACGTGCCTGCTTCCATGTCCATCTACTTTAGAGCAGTCCCCAACTATCTAACTGCAAAGAATAGATTAGGTCCAGTTTTCTCAGACAACTTATATTAAGATTATTCCTAGGACTGACATCCCCTCTGGGTGGAGGCAGGGTATGCCTGCCACTGTCCCTAGCTGACCCAAAGGGTTGGGAGAACCCCAGAGGCAGAGGCACTCCTGCTGTAGTCCAGCCAGGGCTGCAGGGAATGGCTCTGCAGGGTGCCAGGCTTAGCTGAGGATAGCAGCAGTAGGTGGGTTTCCCCGCCCTCCCCCATCCCCCCAGATGTTCCCTGCCAACCTGGGAACAGCTGCAGGGAGAGGAAACCCACACATCACCGTGCCTGGCTAAGCCTGGCTTCCCATGCAGCTGTTCCTTGCAGCCCCAGCTGGAGAATGGCAAGAGATGTTGGGACAGTGGTGACGGCAGACAAGTCTCCTCTCCCTGCACCTGGAGATATAAGTAGAGAAAAGGATGAGGAGACAAGTGGGAGTGAAGGAAAGGGTGCCATTGAGTACAGAGGAGAAAGGAGAGGGTGCCAAGAGCAAGGGAGATTCTTACCTGATTTGGTGACTTTAAAAAAATCCCTGGCTGCAGCTCCCACATTGTGGTCTGCCTGCTCCTGGGCCAGAGGGAAGGCTGGGAGCAGGATTTGCAGTCACTCCTGAAGCCTCATTTACTGGTCCCGCACCTTGGTTTTCAAACACCCAAATGTGCCTATGTGCACAGTGGATTTTTTACAGTACTGGGTGTCTGAAGTACAGTAGATAGATTTGTAGGACAGGGAGAAAGGTAGTAACTACAATTCAGTTAGAAAAGGCAGAAAATGAGATAAAGGCCTCCAATATTAGCATTTTCATTACAGAAGAAGAGATAATGAAGATCAGCAGTGTTTTAAATTTTTATAATTTTATAGTCTATTATGATTACAGGTACTCCTCACTTAACGACCTGCCTGTTTAACGACCGCGCGGACTTACGACCGCGCGGTCATGGAAACGGAAGTACAAGATGTCGGCGAAAAGGAAGAGCATGACTTCACCTGGAGGAAGCACCAAGAAACAAAGGAAGGCTATCGATCTTGAGATGAAAATGAAGATCATAAACGACTATGAAGCTGGTAAGAAAGTTAAAGCGATAGCACGTGACTTGGAGCTGGTGCATTCGACCATTTCGACGATCTTGAAGGATAAAGATAGAGTGAAAGAGGCAGTGAAAGCATTGACAGGATTTAAAGCCATAATAACTAGGCAGCGGAAAGGCCTCATTCATGAAATGGAGAAATTACTGGCGATCTGGTTTGACGACCAGATACAAAAAAGAATGCTGATGAGCCTTTTAATAATTCAAGCCAAGGCACACAGTATCTTTGAGACTTTGAAGGCGCGCGAAGGCGAAGAATCGACGGAAACATTTACGGCAAGCCATGGATGGTTTCAATGGTTTCGTCGGAGATTCAACGTGCATAATCGGAGTATCAGCAGTGAGGCGGCAAGCACGGACGTAGAAGCAGCGGAAAAATTTGTTGACCAATTTGACCCCTGCTGATAACTCCGATGATAACTCTGATGATGACGCTGATGATCCCGAACCACTACCACACTTTGAAGGATTCGATGACTAAAATGTTAATCTGAATGTCTTTTTTTATAACTTTAATTTTTTTGGTACATCATTTTTATAATTTTCGCTGATTGTATTTTTATGTTCTGTAATATGTAAGAGTTATGCAAATTAAAACAAAGTTATCAAGTTGGAGTTTCCTTTAGACCTTTTCTTTATTAAGAATAAATAAAAACGATTACCTGTATTTACAGTACAGGACGGCTCCTCGCTTATCGACCAATTCGCTTAATGACCTAGTCGTGGGAACGGAACTCGGTCGTTAAGTGAGGAGTACCTGTATAGATAGTGTCCAGACTGAAAGTATCTATCCTGATCCAAAAATTCTGAAAATCTGGAGTGAGCATATGCAGGATTTTGATTTAGGAGTTGATCTTAAATGAAATAATTATCTGCACCAGGGACTGTCTTTTTATTACATTTATATACAGGGCCTAACACAAAGTCAGTCAGTTTCAGACTGATACTTGTGTCTTAACACAATTCAAACAGCAGTTATTTATAATCTCAAGTAACCATGCAACTTGTCATACATTTAGTACTCATTCAGTAAACGGCACTCTTTCTCCTACTTTTGTCAAATCATCACCATCACCAAACCCAGAGATGTGCAGTTTCTGGCCAAAGAATATAAACATTTCACAAACATTTTTATTCACCGGAGTCATTTAAATTCTTAGGTGGTTTAGGCATCTTTCAGAAAAGAGAGCGAGCAAGAGAGCACACACATTCTATCTTACATATGTGTATGTTAGCACTTTAAAGGTACACACACACAAATAGCACTCTTAAGATGCTAGGGCATGAAAAATGAATTTGCAGGTGTTTGCACATGTAAAGCTATGCACACAAAAAGTAGGCTGTGATGAGACCCCTTTGTAATTCAAGTCTTCAGGTGATGTAAGTTGGGAAGAAACGAGGAGCAAGTTTATTTCCCTGGACTACTGAACAAGGACAGGTTTTGTTTTTTTTTCTTTTCCCCCCCTCTATACTGTCAATATTAGTTTTTATATTTTAATGCAAAGCTTGAATTTAAGTCAAATTGGTGTTACATTCTAAGACTCTCTGGACTGTCAAGACCAAACAGAACTGTAGAACAGGGTTTTGCAAAGAACGGACTTTTCAGTTTGGCTAGCAAAATAAAAAACAAAACAAAAAAATACGACTTAGTTTCAGCATATTTGTTTACACAAACTAAAACACTTTGTTTTGATCTCAGATTTACCCCTTTTTAATGTCCATCAAATTTTAAATGAAAATACAATTCTAAAAATAATATTTGGACTTCTCTGAATTTTTTCTTTGGGTAAAACTATACACCAAATTTCATCAAGATTTCTATAGTTTTGATCTCCTGAAATTTGCATTTTTGGTGAATTTAATATTTGCCAAAAAATTCCCCAGCAACATTTTGGAAAGATTTAACAAGTTAGGTAAATGGACAATACAATGGCAAGTAAACTCAGTGCTTATATATGTAAAGTAAGGAACATTGGAAGGAAAAGTTTAAGCTAGTCATACACATTACACATTCTAAATCAACTGGATTAACTGATGAACAATTAAAATAGCTGAACACTATGTCTATATTCAGCTGTGCTTAAAAAGTAAGATGATAATATACATTTCAAATAGAATAGAGAATATTACAATTCCTTGGATTTATGTAAAGGCTGTGGTCTCACGTGGAATACAAAATGTGACACTGGTGACCCTATTCCATTTGGGTTATTTCAGAATCAGAGGGAGCATACAGAGAAAGTAGATGGGAACTTCTGTCTCAGTTTTAAAATAAGGCAACATTCAATGAAGCTCAAAGTTGGCCAATTCAAAATTGGAGAAGCAAAAATATTTTCACACAATGGGCACATCTACACAAGATGTGACGTCACAATAGCAACATGCTACGGCGATGGTAGGCACAAACCGTGATGCTGCAGCTACGTCGCCATAGCAATGTGCTCCTTTGGTATAGTGCATTTCTATGGTGACATAGCAGCTAAAAATAACTGCACTGCCAGCATGGTGCAGTATGGACTGTTACTGCACTGTCATTTATTACTTCCAAAAGGAAGTACTAAATGATGGCACAGTAACAACAGTGCCATAGGGGCACATGTAGACACATCTAGTGTGTAGTTGGACTATGAAATGAATTGCCACAAGAAGCCAACCAAGTCAAGAACCTGAGAGGTTCAAAAATAGATTGAACTTGGCAGGTCTAATAGGTTTAAAATAATGTTTTAGCTGTGATTGTCCAGAAAATATGAAGCAAGTATTTTTTGTCATACCTTAAGAAGGAGCACACAGCGGACAAGATAGATATCAGGTCTAGTGTAGTGTGACAATTAATTTGTTTTTAAAAAAATTGTCATCTTCCACTAGCAGCACTGCTACTGTCACTTCCGTCTGTCCTATGAAGTATTATTTTATTCTGTGTACACAGTTCATTCTATAATATACATAACACTACCACAGTTATTTTTCATAGACTTTGTTAATGTAAATAAATCAATTAGACCAACTTCTTTAGTTGCATCGGGCTCAAAAAATTGCATTGATAGACCAACTCTTAAAGTCTAGAATCACAGGAATATAGGGCTGGAAGGATTCCTAAGAAGGATCTAATTCAATCCTCTGCAATGAGGCTGTATCAAATATACCTACACCATCATCAAGAGATGTTTGTTCAAGCTTTTTCTTAAAAACCTCCAATGATAGAGTTTCCCCAACCTCTTTAGGTTGTCAGTTCATGAGATAATTAAAAAGATACATGGCACTAGACCATTGTTGTATAGTCATCCATTATTGTAAAGGATGACTATACAACAACGACCCACACTTGTAGAGAAAATATTAAAAAACCTAAGGTGGCAACTGAATTTCAGTTAGCAATGGGAATCGAGGACAATAAGAAGTCCTTCTTTAGGTTTGTGGGGAACAAAAGGATAACAAATGGAATCATGGGGCCACTGCTTAACACCTCAGGATAGCTGCTTACACTCAGGAAAAAACAGAACTCCTGAATGATTACTTTGCTTCTGTATTTCACCAGACCAAAGGGAATATCATGCAAAATAAGGTTCAGAGTGGGCATGGTGGCAGTGACCACCTTCCTACTGTTGTCACTGAGCTAGTGCATGTTTACTTAGAGAATTCAGACATTTAGAAGTCAGCAAGACCAGATGAACTTCACCCAAGAGTGCTGAAAAGGCTGGCCGAGGCCATCACAGGACCTCTGGCAAAACTCTTCCAAAACTTGTGGCACTTGTGGGATGTCCCTGAAGACTGGAAGAGGGCCAACATTGTGCCCATCTTCAAGAAGAAGAGCAAGGACCCAGGCAACTTTAGCCTAACTTCAATCCCAGGGAAAATCCTGTAAAAATTCATCAAGGAGTCTATGTGTAATACACTCATAGAAGGTAGGATTCTGAATGACAGCCAGCATGGCTTCATCGGGGGCAGGTCTTGTCTTACCAATCTCATCTCCTTCTACAACCAGGTATCTCACCACCTGAATAGGTGAATGAGAAGGTCGACATTATTTACCCATTATATACCAAAAGGCCTTGAATCTTGTATCCCATGATGTTCTCATGGGAAAATTAGAGGATTGTGGGCTTAACAGCTCAATGGTTAGATGGGTAGGAAACTGACTGCAAGGTAGGACCCAAAGAGTTCTTATGAACGGATCTGTGTCGTCCTGGTGAGAAGTGGCCAGTGGTGACCCTCAGGGGTATGTGCTAGGTCCAGTGCTTTTCATCACCTTTATCAATGATTTGGATGTAGGAGTGAAGATCTCACTGGCCAAGTTCATGGATGACACCAAGCTATGGGACAGCGTGGCCATACTTGAAGATAGACTGCAGACACAGGCGGACTTGACAGGCTGGAGAGTTGAGCGGCTCGGAACCAGATGAAGTTCAGCACTGAGAAGTGTAAAGTGCTCCATCTGGGGGCAAACATGCCCCAATGCATTTAGTTTTGGTGGCACCAATTTAACTAGCACTGCAACTGAAAGAGACCTGGGGGTAATAATAGACCATAGCATGAACATGAGCTGTTGGTGCGATGCTGTAGCCAGCAGGGCAAACAATACTCTGGCATGCACCAACTGATGTATCTCATGTAAAACCAAGGAAGTGATTATTCCACTTACTCAGCATTGATGAGACTGCAGCTGGAGTGCTGCATTCAGTTCTGGGCACCACACTTCAACAAGGACATGGAAAAGCTTGAGAGAGTCCAGAGAAGAGCCATCCCTATGATCTGAGATTTGCATGGCAAGCCATACGAGGAAAGGTTGAGGGACTTGGGCTTCTTCAGCCTAAAAAAAGAGAAGGTTGAGAGGGGACTTGATAGCAGCTTACCACTACATCAGGGCTCGGTGAACAACAGTTCACCAGGGCACCCTTGGGGAAAACTAGGAGTAATGGCCACAAACTCCTGGAAGACTGCTTCAGGCTCAACACTAGGAAAAACTGCTTCACAGTCAGAGGGTCCAGACTGAGCATAAACTCCCGCCAGAGGTGGTGCAATCATCTACCCTGGAAATCTTCAAGAGGAGACTGGACAGTCACCTCGCTGGGGTCACCTGACCCCAGTTGTCTTTCCTGCCTAGTGCAGCGGGGCTGGACACAATGATCTTGTGAGGTCCCTTCCAGCCCCTTACAATCTATGAATCTATAAATCAGGGTTAGAACAATGGTATCAAATCGCATCACCAATTTATACATCTGAAGATCTGGTCTTTAAGATGATTCAATTGTTTCCCAATCTTCCCTGAACAATGTCAATCCCAAGGGTGTAGGTGGCAGCAGAATAAAAGAATACTATAGCTCTTTTAGAAGCTACTTTGTTACAGATGGGTTCTAACAGTATGGCAACCACTGGTGATATTTGTGATGCTGTTCCTTTGACTTCTT